CGGCCGAGAGAGAGGCAAGGGGAGGCGAGAGGGAGGGGGCGGCAGTAACTTTTGAGCAGCGATTTCTTCTCGTGTTAAGTGCCTAATTGGTTTGTCTTGATTCCCCTCCGGTTCCAGTTGCCGTCAATGTGCGTCCCAACGCCACCGCCCTTCTACGCCGCCAATACTAGAGAGAGAGAGAGAGGGGAGAGAGGGGTGAACGGTGATTCAGGGATTTCAAATTGGAGAGAGAAAGGGGAGAGGTAGAGAGGGAACGAGTTTTGGGGCAAATGAGAGTGAGGTCGGCTTGATTTCTGAATTAATTGAATTAATAATATATAAACCACCTGATTTTTGAAAGATTAAACTTATCACCTCATTTTTTAATATGAATTTTGAAAAGTAGGGTTTGTAGTAATTTTCTCAANTTAATTGAATTAATAATATATAAAACACCTGATTTTCGAAAGATTAAACTTATCACCTCATTTTTGAATATGAATTTTGAAATGTAGGGTTTGGGGTAATTTTCTCAGTTAATAAACAGCGACATGCTATTTCTCAATTTCTGCAAGATCATACGCCTGCACAGAACACTTCTGATTAATATATTGCATCCAGTTTTTTTTTCCACTTTCATTTTTTCCTACACTTTCAAAATAATTGCAAGACAGAATCTATGATTTAATGATACTACAATAAAGTAACATAGAGTCATAGAGAAATAGATACTTACGCCCCAAAGAAAGCCAGCATTCCAGAATTGAGAAGGCTTCCATACTACAAATGACACAAACCGGGTAATGAATTGGTGCCACGGACCCGCACCAAGGGACACAATCATCTGATGAGAAAAAGAAACTATTTTATATCAGAAAATCATCCGTAGCACAAACAATGAAGCCAACTCAAATATAATGGCTATATTTTGTTTTAGTTAATCTACATTAGTTGGCCAAAGCCTATTCTCCATTCATAATCAAGTAAAACACGCAACCGTCAATAAAGATAATAAACTACCCGAGGTAAGACTATAGAAAGATTTAATA